CTTTTTGGACAGCTATGACTAAAGCTCCTAAGGGTGAGTTATTCGTCGATGAAGTAGATATAGGTGGCCGCAAGGCCAGTGCCTCTTATGATACTTTCTCGATGAGGAACTTTATCAGTCGCGCGTGTGTTGAGAGGTTGCGCTTACAAGGGCAAGTGCAATGCTAGAGTGGACTTGTGGACTCGACCTCTGCCAACAAACAGCGAATGGTAGTCACCGACTACCTCTAAGACAGTGAGTGTCGCTTCCTSTACGCGAGAGGGGAACTGAGACATCGAGTCTCATTCCTAGTCAGCGATGATCTCCCCATGGATATCTTGTTAGCCAGTGTTAGGTATGTACTATCTTTCCGTTGCACATCCCCAGTTTTACTGGAATCAAAAAGTGGTCAAACATACTTTGCCCGGAGCGGGTACCGCCACATTACGAAAGTACAAAGCTAGTATTCTGATCAAGTCCTACGGATGCATGTATGCGGCCACGTTCTATAATTATTATAAGCAAAATCCGGAGGACGGTATGTACTTAGTTTATGTCTCTGCAGAGGGCGAGCCGGTGAAAATGCCTCAAAAGATAGAGGAAGTGGTCGTTAGGTACCCTGATCTATGTGAAGAGCCGAAAGGGGTTGTTGAAAGGGAGGTCGTCAACGCAATAAAGATTATCCTAGGGTCTAGTATTCTGAAGGGTAAGATCTATCGGATGTCTCCAGCTGAGCTCGATGAGCTTCGCCTGCAACTCAAGGAAATCATAGAGAAGGGTTGGATCCGACCTAGTGTTTCCCCTTACAGATCTCYCGTCTTATTTTTACCGAAGAAGGGGGGAACCTTGAGGAAGTGCATTGACTACAAGGGCCTCAATGCCATCACTGTGAAGAACGCAGAGCCCCTACCTCACATGGTGACTTATTGGACCGAGTGCAAGGGTGTCGGTACTTCAGTAAGATAGATCTGAAGTCTCGGTACCATCAAATTGCAATACGGTCTGAGGATCAACACAAAACCGCTTTTCAGACTAGGTGCAATCCGTACCAGTTTGTGGTGATGGCTTTCGGCGTTTGCAATGCTCCTCGCACCTTTCAAACTTCATGAAACCGGATCTTTCATGATTACTTAGACAAGTTGGTCATCGTGTACGCCGATGACATATTTATCTTTAGTACGACTGTCAAGGAGGATGTTGCTCATTTAGCCAAAGTCCTTAGCCTCCTTCGGCA